CCTAAGCCTACACCCATTAAGCTCAATTTTTAGTGGAGCCCCTCCTGGAATGCGATCGGGTGCTAGCCGAACGTTACGACGGCGTCGACATTGCTTTTGAGAAAACGAAAAGCTGGGGAAGGTACGTTACCAATTATATATTTTCGAAATTTTTTTAACTACCGTTAGATTAATTTTTAATAAATTTATTTAGATACTGCAAAGAGCTAACAAACTATGTGAAATCCCGGTTGGCCATCGAGCTGGAGCACGCCAAGCGCACCTCACAGCTGGCCGAGCAGACGCGGATGGGCATGCAAGAGGTAATGAAATTTAAATATTTTGTGACTTCTGAAAGTCATTATTATACTTCAAAACCTAAAATGAAAACCTAAAATTATAAACCTGAACCTTCACATTTTTTTAATACAATTTTTATGACTTTAGGAATTTCTGCCTATGAAAGAGCTCTTCACCGACTCGTTCGACCTCGAAAATGAGCATTTTCTCAAAACCCGGGAGACCCAGGAGCACTTGGGAGACCGATTTGTTAAGGTAAGCTTCTAATTATTATATTGATCGGCATTTAAAACGATTAGTTTCTAAGAATAATTTTAATTGGTTAAAAAATTTTTTTAGTCCCTCGAATCGCGGCGCCTCGAAGCTGAAACGACACGAAGAGCCCTGAAAAATGAGTGGCTAAAAACGGTGAAAGCAATGGTGCGTACTTTCCGTTTTTTGTTTAGCTTTTCCATTTTATCTTATTTTCATAGGAAAGATTTAATCATTTTTGCTCGAACTTTGAAGCAAATTATCGCTTTAGACCGATGCCGAAAATGAGCTCCGCAAAGCCCAGCAAAACTTCACGGCCCGCGAGGATTTATTTAAAAAGGTAACCCGAGAAAAATTGTTTTTTTTGGGTGTTTTTTGCTGTTTTCCGATGCTCCATCGCAACTCGGCCATTTGGCTGCCCTCAGCCGGGGCGTGGCCTTCGCTCATAGCCCTCTCCCGGGGCCGCGCCCCCGTGGTCTTGTGGTGTAGTGGTTATCACGTCTGCTTCACACGCAGAAGGTCGCCGGTTCGATCCCGGCCAAGACCTATCGTTTTGCTTTTTGGGGGTGCTGTCCGGGATTAGTAACCAGACGTACTAAAGGCACATTTTTGTCATTTTAGGCCCGAGAGAACTCAATTCGAGTGTCGAGCGACTATCCGCCGGGATCGTCTACCACGGATTCGATGCGGAAACTGGACAAGAAGCGCATCCGGGAGGAAGACGCGCTTTTCAAGGTATTTCGATTCGATTGTTTTTAATTATGGCCTACCGTACCCATCCCAGCGTTTCACGCGCAATTTGACGAACGGCAACCTTTTCCAGCAGTCGGTAATGGGCTTAAAATTGCGTTTGGGGGCGGCCGGGCTGCCCCCTCCGCTCTTCATCGTTTTCGCTCATTTCTTTCCATTTGGCTACACCAATTTTCGCCCATTTCTTCCGCAGCTTCGGCGCCCAACCTTTTGTGGGGGCGAGGGTTAAAATTGGAGGCATCGCGGGGTGGTAGAGAAATGAGTTTTTGGGGGAATTAGAGGGGTGAAAATTGGGAGCTGATCTTTGTGTTTTTTTGCAATTGGATGGACTTATATTTATCCAGAGAGCAAAACATTTTTAGCCAGCAACTATTGCTTGACGCTACTTTGCATCCAATCATTCTAAAGGGACTAGGACACGTCGGCACACGGCTAGCTCAATAAGCTATTAAACCTTGAAAAACTTAAAGAACGTAAAATTACAAACTTTTGGAAAGCATCAAAACATCTCCAGGCAGCCAAAAAAATCGTTTAGAAATTGAAATTTGTATTTAAGCTGGAATTTAATGGCCTCAAAAAGACCCAGAATCGACCTATAGCTGCGACGAGGTCTAGACGATTACGATCGATTTAGCATTACAGCGCTTAAATTTGAGGCAAACCGCTTCTAAGAGCCCTCAGCAGTTGTCGAGGCCTAGTCCAGGCCATGGGACGATTCTCCAACTTTTCGGTTCTATAAATAAAATTTTAAAATAATGTTAAATTTAATCTAATTAAATTACTTTAATAATCTTAAATCTTGAATCTTAATTTTAAAACATCCCAGCGGAGTATTCGTCTTTCCCCCTTCCAAATTGGTTCATTTTCCCCTGCTGGGCCCCCTTCTGGTGGCCCTCTACTGGCCGTCCAGAGGAGCGTTTCGTTGTCCTCTCCTTCCACACACACACACACATCCTCCTCATTAATCCCATTTCCAGAGAAGCCTCTTATCGCCATTTCGGTCTTTAGCGCATCTTGGCGTCTTAAAGGGTCTGGGAAGTGCAAAACTTGCAAACTCCAGATAGCTTTAAGTTTTCTGCCAAAAGTGCTTGCCAGTCCCTTTAAGTGGGCGATAAAACGACAACAGTATTCTATCGAAAACCTGTCTGATAAAGATTGCATTTTATCGCCTGATTTTCTACTGCCGCATCCCTTTAAAGAGTTTCTCCTTCTCGGCAGCGTCTATCAATTCTTATTTCAAGCCAAATTTAAGCAAAGCCGAACATTTTTTTACAGCGTGAAGAAGCCCTGCACCAAGTGAAGGCCCTCGAGACGGAGGTGAGGAGGAGGCGCAAGTCTGTGGATAGGTGCAAGGAGAAGACGATCGAAGCACTGCGCGAGTTGGTGCTACAGTGCGATCAGACGACGAAGGCCTGTACGCAGCATTACTTCAAGGTGAGCCATTGCACCGGCTTAGGCTTAGGCTTAGGGTTAGGCTTTGGCTGCGCCTAATACATCCTAGTCGATCTCCCCTCAATAAACCCGCTTTTCATCGCACTAACAACCCACCCGAACCCTAATAGAATCATACTAAAACAGCCATCCATCTCCTTCCCCCAGAATCCATTTCCCCTCGCACTTCCTAATGCCCCAAACCCGAAATGACGAGTTCGGCTCTCATTCCCCCCTCGATTTTCCGGGTCGCCCTGCCTGTGGCTACGCGGCCACCCGAGTTGACGGCTTTATTGGAGCGCTTTGATGGCTTTTTGTCGACGAGGCTAATTGGCGGCCACCGCCCCTGCCCCGTGTGGGCCGCTAAACTCAACTCGTCGCCTGTTTTCCGTTTCCGGTCTGGGTTTGGGTTGGGCTGAAGTTTGGCTTAGCTTAGCTTAAGCTTAGGCTTCGGCGTTCTAGACTTTTAGCGAGGGGGGGGGGCGCTCCAAACCCAGCCCAGTTTACGGCGGTTCACAAATTTCTTTAGATGCAAAAACGTCGCAGGAATAAAAATCAGTGCCAGCCCTCGCTATGAATCCTTCGTCCCCCCCCCCGGTTAACCGTCCAGTTCCGGCTTAGGTTTTTGCTAGGCTTAGGTTCCCCAAGTATCTCTGCTAGCCATCCTGCCAACTTCCCGAAAACCCACGCACTCTGACCATAGTCCACCCGCTAACCCGCGCCACGAGGAGCGGATCTGAGGTCACAGCTCCTCCCACTGCCCACACATCCTTACCCAGAGCGACGAAAGGGAGCGAGAGAGAGCGAGAGAGAGCGAGCGAGAGAGAACAAGGCAACCCACCCATCTGGTGCTCAATTGGGCCGTTATCAGCGCTGGCGGCGCTTCCATTTCTAAAAATTGGGGGGCCCTCCCCCAAAAAAGGCGCTCCTCCTCGGCGAGTGAGAAGGACGAGACTTCGATTCGTTGTGACGCGCTTCCCCCCACTTCAACACAGCCTCAGCCTTCTTCGAATCTTTCTGCTGCTTCTGCTTCTCCCCTTGCTCTTCCTCCTCTTGCTCTTCCAGCCTTGTGTGTGTGTGCCCTGGGGCCACGGCCTCCTCCTCCTCCCCGATTTCCAGATGCTGCCCGTCCAGGGGGCTTCTCACGTCATCGTCTTTAGATTCTGGAGTTTGACATCCCGCCCCTTTTCCCCGGTGGGCTGCGGGATCAGAATCTTTAATCAGTGCCTGGACTACATGGACCACTATGTACGCCTAGCTGCCTATTTTTTGAAATTCTGGTGTTCGGCTCGTTCGCTTGAACAGATCCACGGTCTAGTACCGATTCAGTTTTGCCTTTACGATCTCTTTAAAACATTTTACTGACGTACTCATAAACTCCTTTAAAGACACTAAGAAGCCTCGGAATCGACCCAACTTATCCACTAGATCTAGACAACTGTCATGTACCTTAAAAAACATTTTAAAGCTTCAAAAATTCCTAGTTGCTCAATTTTTTTTAATCTCCACGGCTATAACTGAAAGTTAAAAGGCATCCTTCTGGCTTCACCGCCCCTTTAAAAGGAGCAGAAACTTTGGAAATGGGCCCTCTATTGGCAAGGACTCGAAAACTACGCACTACATCAAATTACGTTTGAAAACGTCTCAAATTTTTTGCTGCTTTTGCCATTTTTTGCCCGTGCTCAAAGCGCCATGAAACTGCTCGTGCTCGTCATATTTTGAGACACGTAGCTTCCGAGACATAATCGGTAGCAACGCTGGATTCCGGCTTTCTACCGCCCTGAAATAACCTAGCCGGCTAGGGCCAAACCTCACATTTCACACCCTCACATCAGCGCGCAACATTCCTAATGACGGCCCAACAACCAAATCGATCGCCCGGTCGGCCGCACGGCTTTAGGAGCGTCGCGTAGCCCTCCGGAGTCCGGTCCCCCGCGGATATTTGGACCTGATGAAACCTGATCGGGGGCCAGGATTGGCCCTAGGCGGGATGACGTCCCGTGGATATGGCTAGGAGGGGGGAGCCAGGAGGGAAGGCTTCTTCTCTCAAGGGCATACACATCCAGGATGGATGGACAAGGCCGAGGCCATGATGGAGCCTATCGGAATTCCGATTCTATGCCCTCGGCCCGCTTCGGAATGCCTTGACATTCGATTATCAGTGTCCCGGGGAACGTTTCGCTATTCAGGAGAGATGTTGTTTTGAAACGGGGTGGCATTAGGCTTAGGTTTAGGCTTAGGCTTATGCTTGGGCTTGGGTTTAGTCTTAGGCTCAGGCTCAGGCTTAGGCTTAGGCTTAGGCTTAGGCTTAGGCCTAGGCTTAGGCTTATGCCTCCCCGCCAATACAATTTCGCGTTTTGGTGCCTTTTGGCGGTTCCATCCGTTGTGTTAATGGGCCAGGGGGGGTGACTAGTGGGGGAACGACTTGTTAGGCATGTTTATTTTTTCTGCCTCCCGGTTAATAAGGTATAGTGCTTTTTTATACAATTTTTAGTTGTCTTTGTAACAAAGGTTATAATACCTTTTGAAAATCACAAAAATTGAGAAATTTGACGTTTAATCGTCATATTTCGCGCATTTTTGGCCAAAAGTCGACGTTTTTTCGCAACTTTTGCTAACCTGTCGGGGCTTTTTATATCTAAAACACCGCAACATGCCATAAATTTTCCCAACTCATTCAGAACTATTTTTCTATCTTGTTTTTGCTCCCCGCCCCCCCCATCCCCTCGGATTCATAAGAAGTTGAGAGGAGGTGGTTGGGCCAGAGAAGGGAGAGAGAGAGAGAGAGAGAGAGAGAAAGAGAGAGAGAGAGAGAGAGAGAGAGAGAGAAGCGAGGAGCAAGAGCTGCCGAACGAGGGAGTAGAGGTCCCACCCTAATGAGCGTCGTGTCCCTTTTGGGGGCGCTCGCCAACAAAACACGGCGGTGCCCATCCCTTCCCCCAACACGGCCATCCACATAAACTGCCCGTCAGAAGCCCATCTGCAACGCACAACATTTCGGCTCTCCTCATTTTGGCATAATTTTTAGACTGAAGAACTGGGATTCCTTATCTTTTTTCAAGCTACCTCTTCAACGCAAAAAAAATGCAAATTACACTCAAAAACCGTAGCCGGCTCTCATTTCCCCGCCACCACCCCGGGCTCATCGCTCATTTTTTGCTGTTTGGTGTCCCGGGGTCGGGTGCTGTGTATGTGTGTATGTGGCCATTAATCTCGATGCATCCCGAATATGGCCCAAAGAGTAATGGGACCGGCGGGCTTTTCGAAAAAGGTCATTAAAGCCGGAGGGGGAGGGGGAGAGGGCATTCGTCTTTTTCGGTTTTGAGATGGAAATTGAGGATTGTCGAAAAATGCGCGAATTGGGGTAGGCTTGGGTTTCGTCGTAAGCTTATACTTCGTTTAGGCTTAGGCTTCGTTTAGGCTTAAGCGTCGTTTAGGCTTAGGCTTACGAACAGCCAGAGAATCAATCCCCTCGCCGCTTCGAAACCTCGCACCAAACCCAAATGCTATCTCGTGTATGCAGACGCCTCACGTTGTTCCACTCCCTGCTTCGAGCCTCCAGTTCGGAGATGACGTCTTCTCGCTAGTTCCCCTAGTCACCCTCTGCCGCCTCTCTTCCGCTTCTCCCCCCATCCACACGGAAATCTCCGTCGGGCCAAGAAATCGAGTGAATCGAATTCGGGCCCTCCCGTGGCCCCAAGCTTTCCAGCTGGCCCGCCACGCGTCCTGGCTGCTGTCGGATTCCGGGCGCACAGCAGTTTCCGGGTGATGATCGAGTTGACCTTTAGGTTTATGCTTTATCTCAGGCGTAGGCTTAGGTTTTAGTTTAGGCTTAGGCTTCGCTTCGGCTTAGGCTGAGGCTTAGGTTTACCCTTTCCTCACCCCGGAAAAATGAGCACCAACATCCCAACCATCCGGACGTGTCCAAATATTTTGACCGCGCTTCGCCCCCTCGTCCTCGCACGGGCGCCGTTCGGAATTTATGAGCGGATTCGGGCTCGAGAAACGGCCGCTCCAGGGGTTGCACAGGACTCACAATTGGCCCCCGAAAAAATGGGGGTAACCGGAGATTTTTGGGTTTTTCGGGGGGGAGAAGGGTAGGTGGTGTTCTCTGCGGAGCCGCGCGAGGCCGTGTTGTTCCCAAGGGGGCATTTAGCAAATGGATATTCGGATATTCAATCTCTCTCTGTCTCACTCGCCCTCTCTCTCTCTCTCTCTCTGACTCTCACTCAGACCGAACCCAGACGCCCATGGCATTTTGCTAGACGTCATTTTTCCAATTCCACTACATTCTACATTTTGAGGCAACAAGAAAGCCAAATCCATAAGTTTTTGCTACTAAAACCTCGTTTTGGATTACACTCTATTCCCCCACTAAATAATTAAAACCCGACCCGCAAAACTTCCGGAGAAAAATGTCGGTGTAACGTGCAATCGCTTAAAGTCGCCTGGATGGTAGTGGGGCACGCGAAGGCCTAATGAATGGAGAGAGGGAGAGAGAGAGAGAGAGAGAGAGAGAGAGAGAGAGAGAGAGGGAGAGAGAGGGAGGGATTCTGACGTTTCCGAGGAGTCGCAGGTCCCGTTCAAGCACAAAACATCATCATCATCAGCTCGAACGAAAGGCCAGCGGCCACCACGTGCACACGTGACCGAGCTCATCCATTTAAAGGGGTTTGGAACGCTTAGTCTTAGGCTTAGTATTCTCATGCTATGACCAATCTAATTCGATGGATTTTTATTCGAATATTTTTCTCGCATCCTCTCTCTCTCTCTCCTAATTCCTCTCGCTATCTCTCTTCAAAATTTAAACTTTAAAAACGACTTCCAACCTTATTCAAAATAATTTTCGGATTTTATAGCCTACTTTTTGTCTTCCTGGTCCCTTTAGGTCCACCTAGAAAAGCTCGGGCACCACGAATTTCGCTTTTTTCCAAAAATTATTTTTGGGGTTTTACGCCCACTTAACATCTCACATCTGCATTTGCATCTCACTGAATCTCACTTAACAAGATCCACCCCAAAAAGGCAAAAAATACGTCAACCGGATCACCTCGGACGTCAGGGCCTCAAAATTTCAACAGTCCCCCCCACCACCCTCATTTCACTTGCAAAAACGCCGAAATAGCCGCTGCGTAAGGTGGAAGGAGAAACGGAAAATGGAAAAGGAGAAACAAAGCCCTTCTTGTATCTGATTTCTGTTGTCTTTGCTGTCTGCCGGCCGGCCCAAAAAGTGCCGAAAGCGAAGGCATGAATAAGTGAACGGGGGCCCGGCCACTGGCCCCCACCACCAACACTTCCATTCCGCTCAATTTCGTCTTCGCCTTCTCGTTCGTCTATCTCTACCTGTCACTCACTAAATCGTGCCCTACCTACCGTACTCCCTTGTACAGTCCACTGGTGTATGGACAAGGACCAGCCCCATCATGTGTCCGAGCCGTTGCTGCCGAGTTGTGTGGGTGGCTCAGTGCTTTTTAGGGAATTATCTATTCCGTTTTGATGCTTTTTACGCTCGCAATTTTGGGGAAATTCCGAAATAAACTTTGCTAGCTTACCCATCGACATTTTTGGATTTTTAAAGATCGCTGTGAGAGACAGAGAGAGAGAGAGAGAGAGAGAGAGAAAGGGAGAAAGAGAGCGAGAGAGAGAGCGTGAGAGAGAGATCGCGAGTGAGACAGAGAGAGATTGAATATCCGAATATCCATTTTCATAACTCTCTACAGGCAAGCCAGCAAAGACCCTTGAGGAATTTCCCATTTTTCCAAGTACCATTATCCCTTTACTTCCGAATTACAAAGCTTTTCGGCTTGCCTATAACCACCCGGCTTCCTTATCAATTACCCTTGGCTATGCGGCATACTGTAGAAATCTCACCAATTCCCGGCAATTAACTCGACCCTGGCTTGTCTAAAATTCCCCTGGGCTTCTTTAAATTCCCGAATTTCAGGCGCTGTCGGCTCTGTGGGTGGGCGTGCCGGCTCGCTACCAGGTATCTTTTGGCTTATTATATTTTGTATAAAATCTAGGAGTCAACTTGTTGAGTTCTGGCCTGATTTGACTTTTTAAACGCGATTTCTAGGGGCTGGCGGATGCATCTAGAGACTACCAGCCTGGCCGCGAGTACATGGCCTTCCTGCAGAATCTCCCAACGCAACCTAATCGAGCCGGATCACAGCATTCATTGTTGAGGTGAGGGTTCGGCTTAGCCTTACATAGTTTACCTTCCTTTCCAGAAGCGACAAATCCGTCGACGACCTGTCGTCCCAAGGCGAAAGCTCCTCGGTGACGGCGTCGCGACGGAACGCCCTCAATCCGGATGACACCTGCGCCCTTCCGGATACCCGACGACATAAGAAGACGAGCTCAGGTGAGTGGCTGAGTTTTTCTCTCTCTCTCTCTCTCTCTCTCTCTCTCGCTCTCTCTCAGCGTCAAGCCTAACCCTGAAATTCAGCAGGCCGCTTCTTCGAAACAGCTGAACTCTCGGAGGCTGCTGCCAGCCACGAGTGGTCCCGATCTCCACGACCGGCCAAATGTAGCCACTGCGACACCTTATCAATCCTATTTACGCTGACGTGTACTCGATGCGGGCTCAATTGGCATAAGAATTGTTTCCCGAAAGTGAGTCTTTCTCACCTGTCGAGACCTAGTCAAGTTTTGGTCGATGGAGGTGTTTCATAGTCCCTTTAAAGAGAACGTGCCCGGAAGAGGCTACACGTTTATAGCTGTATTTAATAATCCCTAATACCGTAACTTTTTAGGTAACCCTCGCCTGTGGCCAAGGCTCCCGCTCTCCCACGGAGCGGCGCGTGTCCATGTTTGGTGTCAGCTTGCAGAAGCAGTTGGAAGAGCAGCGCCGTGAGATTCCCCTAATCCTGGCAGATGTCGTTGACGAGATTCAGAGACGGGGGATCCAGATGAAGGTATCAGGATTGTAGCGACTTAAGGTGAAATATTTCCAGGGTCTGTACCGACTCTGCGGAGCTAAATCAAAGATTGAGGAGATATGCGAGTTGTTTGAAAGGTGGGTTAGGATTGGGCTTGGGCTTTGTCTTAGACCTACGTCTAGGCTTAGGTTAGGCTTATGCTTATGCTTAGGCTTAGGCCTTAGGCTTAGGCTTAGGCGATCCTATCAGGCCTATCCATAGGTTGACATCCCTCGTCATTACTTAACATTTCCAGACACACCGGCGATTCCCATATTCCCCTCGACGATGCTCACCCGGTCAATTTGACGAGCGTCGTCAAGTGGTATCTGCGCAAATTGCCCGAGCCGCTCATGACGTTCGAGCTGCATCCAACTTGGATACGATTCGGACAGGTGATCGCTCTCTCTCACTCTCTCTCTCTCTCTCTCTCTCGCTCTCTCTCCCTCTCTCTCTCCCTCTCTCTACCATCCGAATTTCAGAAATTCTCCTCCGGCACCGTTGACGAGTCGCAAATTGCCGACCTTGCCGCCGCCATTGCCCAACTACCAAAAGCCAACTACGAGACGCTCCGATTCTTGACGTTACATTTGAATAGGGTATCCTGGTGAGTTATCTCTTCACGGTGCTGGAACTTTAAAACAGATTTTGGTTCTCGGACTTGAAGTCTTTAACAACCGGGATTTGCAGGTTTTCCTCGAGCAACTTGATGACGCCATCCAATCTTTCTACCGTAATCTCGCCATCGCTGTGCTGGCCGCAGTATTGTAAGGTAAAGAAAGGGAAAGAGAAAGAGAGAGAGAGAGAGAGAGAGAGAGAGAGAGCCATATAACGCTCAATACAGTTCCAGATGAAGAGCCAGAGCCCGACCCAAGCCAACTCGGCGATCCAAGAAGCCCAGTATGCCTCCAAGGCCATTGAAATCCTAATCGCCAATGCACATGTAAAATTTCTGCTTCATTCTTTATTTTCATAACAATTTTAGTCTATCTTTAACGTGGATCGTGCAAAGGACCGAGCGGAATTCTTCATGAAATACCCACAGGAAGAGCCGAGCCTTGCCGAAGATATGGTCGGGGATGAGGAGGAGGAAAAGGTGCGAGCTAGGATCCAAGCTTAGGTTTTGGCATCGGCCGATCACAGGCTTAGGCTTACTGGATCGATTAGCAGGCTAGCAGCGATTCCTAGAGAATTTGCAGAAAAAAAACCGAGATGCCGATTTTCAGGAAGAAGAATGCGCCGAGCTCGACGACGACTCATTTTCCGTCCAACAGCCCCCAACCCCAGACTTGTTAAAAAGCGCCCGAAAGGTGATTTTGATCGCGTAATCGATTAAACGGGATTTTTTGCAGAAGAACTGCGCCCCACCAAGCGAATGTGGGAGCGAGGAGAGCGCCGTCGAGTTGTTCCCCGCCCGAGAATCTGGCAGCAGGTAGGGCTGGAAGATTGAAATAATTTGAGTGCAACTTAACAATACCCAGACTAATTTCGGGTCGTTCTAAGCATTAAAGGGCCACTGACGGCTAACCGGGCGGTATTTCAGAGACCAAAAGGGAGAGCAGTACACGACATGTATAATCGTTGCCTCGTCAGCTCCACCTACTCCTCATCCATCGCAGCAGAGGCCGGTTCCGGTCCGGAAAAATGTGTAAGCTAATTTGGGCGTTAGGTTTAGGCTTAGGTTTAGGCTTAGGCTTCGGCTTAGGCTGCCTCGGTTTAAACCTACTTTTGATGCGCTTTCGGACGCAAAATCGCAAAATCTTACCGAAAATATCTTTAATAAATTAGGCTAATTCGCAATGTGTGAAACTATCCACTTATCTCGTTACAAACTTAATCTAAAAGGGTCTGGAAGTCGAATGATAATCATAACCCTAATTTGAGTGTATTGACTGACAAAACTTCTGAAAAAAATTTTCTAAATTTTGAAAAACCTGTTTCAGGTCCGTAGGGTTGGAGAGGAGCAACTATGCCTGCGGTGAGGTGCAGCTCAACCTCGCCGAGGGCCAATATTTCGTGCCGGAGAACGGGCTTCAAAACACGGCGGAGCACAGCCCGGCGGGGAAGAGCACCAACTCTGTGTACGTTTTTCGCGCCGCTTCATTTTTCGGATTTCAGGCTTCCGGTTTCAAACTCAATCTGGCGTTTGGATTGCTTGAAGATCTATAATGTGTCCCTTTTCAGCTTCGACTACGGTAACAGCTCGGGCTACAGTACCTCTGAATGCTCGCGAGAGTCCGAGTCGCGCTCCTCTTCGCAGCGCGGGAGCAAGAAGTCCACGGAGCTGTTCCCGAAGGACAAGGGCGTCAGCTACGTCTGATGCTATTTTGCATATTTCTATTAATGCGTTAATTATATTTATTTTTAAAGGGGTCGGCAAGTCAAGGGAATTAAGAAGCTGGTTATTTTTTTGGCAGAAAATCGTCATAAAAAGGTTAGGCTCAGGTTTAGGCTTAGGCTGGGCTTAGATTTCGGCTGAAGTTTGATTAAACCTTGCCGATTCGTTTAAAAAACCCTCCAACTCTTAAGAAGACCAAAAAGCCTACATTCCTTTATCCTAAATCCGGAAAATCTACATCCACAAAAAACCACTAAGACAATTCCTATACCATACCACCATGCAATACGGGGAGAAGCGCCGCGCTTTTTATTTGCATATTTTTACAATTTTATTCATAACAATGTTTTGTGTTACAATACTTGTCATTTTTCCTTTTCCTGGCTAAGTTCCCCGTGTACTCCTTGCCGTCGTGCCGCCCCAATTTTTACAAAAAAAGCCCCGTTCCGTTGATGTCCCCGTTTACGAGTGTCCCCCGCCCTATTTTGCGCCCCTTCCATTAGTGTGCCATACGGTATATTTGTACATATTGTTCCGATGGACACCGCCCGGACCCGTGTGCGTCATTTGGAGCGCCGTGTAGCCCTCGGCCCCCCGCGCGAAATTTTTATTCCTTGCCCCTGTTCCAAATGTGTTTTTCTGGACTCCGACAGAATTCTGCGTCCAATTAATAAATATATTCTTCAGAAAAAGTCCGGAAAGGCAATATAGCAGAGATTCTTTATTTTTATTCACACTAATAGACACGAATCGAAATACTGCAATAACGAAATAATATTTTGGCACAATGCAATTTTGACGATGATTGTTTTGCTTGGGCATTACGGTAATGTACTGGAATCACGACTGATATGTCAGGGACGTCATTTTAAAATAGCTAAATAAATTTTAAAATGACTCAAAAATCTCCTTAAAAACTGGGCAAGAGTCGGCTAGCGTATTGTATCCCAATTTTCGACATTCTATCAACAATCACATTTCAACGGGGGACTAGAATAGTTGCTGAAATTTTGGGGAAAAAATGCAAATTTAATCGAGTAATTTGCATAAAAAGAGAGGCGCGAAATCGAGATTCATGGATGAATGGCTGAGCGGAAGGGGGCGGGGTCACTTCAACGGCCCTTTAAAGCGCCGCAAAAAAATGCCAAAAATAACGGTAAACAAACATGCACTAATTTGAAATCTAGCGTTGCTACGGCAGGTGTCGTTGGGTGTCGAGCGGAACGTTCTGTAAACTTTATAGTTTCGATATTTTCTGATTCTTCTGCAATTTTTCGATATATTTTTTTTTGTTTAATGGCAACCTAGAAGGTTTTTGGTGGGAATCCAAATGTTGTTTCTCTTTAAAATCTAAGGCTAGCTGGCGGAAACCCTTTGAAAATGCTGATTTTAGAATAGCTATAAAATCTCTTTAAAATGGTAAGCTAGCTAGCAGAGGTTCTTGAGGGATCTAAAAAGGCTGTTTTTTACCCTAAAATTCTTTGAATTACTCGTCAGCTATCCGAGATCCTTAAAAAATCGTGTCTTTCCCTTTAATCCACATTTACAGTGTGACACGACATATAGGACAAGCACCTCCATAAATCCTATATTTACTTCTTTCGCATCGACAAAAATACAGTAGGCCACGGTACAACACAACGGCTACACGAAAATACCATTACGGGTGGACTGGCGTACTGTAGAAAAAGTTGTGATGCATGCAACGGGAAATGCCGGGACATGATAAAAGACACTACTGGCACTTGGGCTTGGGCTTAGGCTTAGGCTTAGGCTTAGACTTCGGCTTGGGCTTAGGCTTAGGCTGAGGCTTAGACTTCGGCTTTAGTCATTGAAATGAAGTTTTGAGCGAGAGGGTTCGATTACTGGGTTCTGGACTCTTAGCGGGGGGACCCTAGATTTAGCCTGACGCTCCTTAGGATCGCATTAATTAGAAAACACCATCTAATTAGTTTTCTATTATGTATGCAAAATTATAGAGCATTCCCAACTTCTCCAAAAAAAATTATTTTTAGTCAAAATTTTCAAATTTTTTATCATTTTTTGACATCCAAAAACCAGTAAAAATACTGAACAAATCCCTACCACCCCCCGCTAAAAGTCCAGAACCAAAGAACACCACAGAACCAAAACAATCCACAGAAAAAAAACGAAACTGGCAAGATGGCAATTGTTTTTTGACAAGAATCTGCGGAATCGGGGTGAAAGGGGCAAGAGGGAGAGGATTTTTGGCGAGAGAGCGAGGGAAATAGAGATATTTAAAGAAAAGCTATACACAAAAATTCCGATCGACAACAAACAAAAAACGACGCTGGACAACGACGGTCTGCCACAGAAGACGTAGAGGACGCCTGAATTGAGGGGGTACGGTAGGCTGCCTGCGGATGCAAAATAATAAAAAGCAAAGCTGCACATATTGTTTGGACCTTTACATTTCGATTTAAGTTTAAAACTTTTGAAACTTAAAATTGAGATTTATACCTTATGTGCTGACGCCAACACCATTCCCGCCGGGACCCATCGGATAAGGCTTTGATTTCGCGTTTTTCAGTTGAACCTGAAAAGTGGTTTTTGAATTTTTGTAATTACGGTAGAGTACGGTAGCGTATGCGTCGTTGAGTTGCGCTGCGTCGGAGTACGCTATGATACGCATCCGCTAGGGCTACAGTACTTTACCGCAGACGAAGATAGGCAAGGCTCCTTTTGGTTACTGTACTTTACGCTATGATACGCCAAGTTCCGCTACGTTCCGCTATGTAATCTCACCCACCTTCAACCGCTTGCTGCCAATCTGGAAGCCGTTCATCGCAGAAATCGCGTTAGCAGCGGAGAGGTGGTTGTCAAACGAGACAAAACCTAGAATTGTGATTGTATAGCTTTTGTAGTCAAAACTTACCGAAACATTTGCTCAAATTCGTCTGTTTGTCGATGAACACCTTGGCGGAGATGATGGTCCCGAATGGGCTGAACGTCGTCACAAGATCGGCGTCGGTGAACTCCTAGAAAAAGCGTGATTAAAAATCTCGAAGCTTCTACGTAACGCTGCGGTTTGGCGGCGTACGATGGTGTACGCTCCAATATGCTACGTTACGCTACTAGGTCCAACGTTGTGGTACCGTACTTTTGTCCAAACTAGAGTGGCGCTTATTCAAATCAAATCGGCTTCAAATTGATTTGATTTGAATTGGCAAATTTGAGTGCTAAAAAATCAACTTCAAATCAAATCGATTTGATTTGAATTAGGGGCTGGCCAACTCAAATCAAATCGATTTGATTTGAATTAGGGGCTGGCCAACTCAAATCAAATCGATTTGATTTGAATTAGGGGCTGGCCAACTCAAATCAAATCGATTTGATTTGGGATTTGAACAACAGGCTTATCTGGGATGCAAATTGAAAATCGCCAGTTCGGAGGTTTTTGGTCTCGCCGTTTCTGCACATTTAGGTTCCTTTACAATAATTCATGGGTGTTTCGATGACCTTTATATAAAATTGAGCGAGACGGTTTTATTTGTCAAATTTAGCCTGCGCTATGGTTTTTCTTTGCAAAAGCTAAAGCGTAAAAACAATAGGAAATGTATAAGGAATCGTTACTTGGGACGCTGGAACAATGCTAAGAGATTATAGGGAAAGAGCGGTGCACGAATTACGAGTTGCGTTGGGTTCATTTCGATGAGATCTTATTCAAATTATTCAAATCGGCTGGATTTGATTTGAACTGGTGGAACTCAAATCAAATCGATTTGATTTGATTTGATCGGCTCCAATTCAAATCAAATCGGCTTGATTTGAATAATTTGAATCTTATTCAAATCTGATTTGAATAAGCGCCACTCTAGTCCAAACCCAGACTGAAATTCTTTGCGCCCGCTGTACGTTACAATACGCTACGGTACGTTACGGTACAGTGTCTTACAGTACGCCAAACGATAAAGAATCTCGCTAACATGACGCAAAGTTCAAATCTTACTTGCGGCAAATGGTAGATGAACAAATTGCTTCCATCGGGCCCCTTTGATTGGCCATTGCCCACAATGCCTGGGTTTGCGCCAGGGGCCGCGGCGGCGAGTTGAGTCACTAAAAGAGGTGCAAATATTCGGGCCTATTGTACTTCCAGAAATTTGCACAATTTAGCCCATCGGCTTTGTTTTTGAGTTGATAAAAAGTTCCCTCCTCCAGAAAAAGCCCGAAAATCGTTTGGTGAGGATAAAGCTGGTGCTCCGGTGCCCTGAACCACCCGAAGAAGCACAAATTAAAAAAAAGCCTGGAGGACAGTGAGCTGAGCTTGAGCGAGAGTTTGAGGTCAAGGTTTAGACTGAGGCTTAAGTTTGCTTAGACGTGGATTTCGGCTTCCGCTTAGGTTTAGGATTAGCCTCACCTTGACTTCAAAACCACCTTAAAACCGCCTTCACCATCCCTTTAAAGAAACTTGGAAGCTTGAAATTTTCTCAACGGCTTCAAGTCGTTCATGGCCTGCCAAGCCCGGTCCAAAACCGCCCACCACCCCGCGAAAGTGAACCAAAAGCCCCGAAAAGAGTAGGGAAGCGTACGGGCTGCCTGTTGTTCAGCTGCTGCAAGTGCTGCTGCGTGATAGTATGCGGCATCGGGGGTGGTCATCTGCTGGTAGATCGACTGGGCGGGCATCCCGCTGAAGCCGAGCATCTGCGGTGGGAGGCAGGGAGGTGATGCTCCTTTTGGCGGCCCTGACAATGGATTGACCGTGTTTTGCAGTGGGACTAGGGGTTACGGTACCGGGTGCTGGTTTTAGGAAACGAAATAAAGGCTCAAAAAATCTAAATTTTCGTGATAAGTTAAATTTTCAAAGGAACATCGAGGAAGCCTCTGCAATTAGAACATTGACAAAATAAAAAATTCCGCATATAAACCAAAAAAAAATAAATTTTTAAGATCAAAGCAAGAAAAAAGCAAGCGGTAAGGGATTTATGTACTAATATGCATACGATTTGAAAACGCAAAAAGAAACGTCAAAACGGCATGCAAATCAGAAAAACGTTAATTTTGAGGGTTAGTAAATCAAAAAAGGCAAGCCGGAAGTGAATTGTGCATGCTTTTCCGTGTTAAAAATCATAAAATCTAAACCTTTAGGAAATTCGGAATTTTCATCGGTTATCATGCTTTGCTGGTCCATATTTCATAAAATGCATGCAAATTAGCATGCCACTTTCAAAACGCCGAAAAAACGTACCGTTCTGCGTGGCCGGGGCGCCGGCAAACGCCGCGTAGCCGTACATGTTTTTGCCCTCCATGGCGAGGGCCGGCTGCTGCTGCATTTGGAGTTGTTGCTGGAAGGCCATCTGCAAAAAACCGCGTTTAAAAAATACCAATTCAATTTTTCGGCCAATCTAAAAAAAATTTAAAAAACGAGAGAAAATATAGTTTTTCAACGGCAATTTTTCGATTTGACTACATTTTGGGCCGAAATTTTTGGAGCTTGTAGCTTATCACGTTTTACATTTTGTGCATAAATTTCAGCGTAATCGGTTTCGCCAACGCCGAGCTATTAAAATTTTCCTCACCTGCTGCACCATTTGGGGTTGTGGCTGGACGGCCGGCTGGAATTGGACGGGCAGCTGCTGGCCGAGAAGAGCTAAAAAGTGGCCTATGCAAGTTTAGTAAGTGAAGTCCAAAAAAAACCAAGCCAGCCACCCGGAAAACCAAAAACCGAAGAAAGGGGGCGGTGATGCGTGTGTATGCGTGTTTTTGCTGCCAACCAAGCGGGTTTTGGGTGCATGCAGGAAAGAGAAGGATTACTGTAGAGAGGCTGCATTACATTTTTGGACTTAAAGCATGAAAAATTTGTTTAATTGTCGTTAATTTTATTTTTCTTGAAAATCTGCGAGAGAAAAACTATCTTAAACACATTAAAAAAATTAAAGTGTAAACAATTAAAAATGTTTCAATGAAATAATGATTAAAATTATCATTAAAACTCGAAAAATTATCAGAATAGGTCCATTTAGAGCCCTTTAGCTAGGCCTAAGCCTAAGTCTAAGCTAGCAAAAACCAGAACTCTATATATAGCAAAGCAAGACGCAAATGAGATGCAAAGATAGAGCAACAGCCACCACCACCAAAACTCTCAGCACGATACACCGTGGACACACTACCGTACCCTGGGGGTCGACGAGCCCTGAGGGCTGTGAGGAGACTGGGGCTCCGGGTTGGCCAGCCCCAGCCGAGTTCTCCGTCAGTCGCGACAGACCGGTCAGCACTGCAGGGTTTGCATTTTTTGGATTTTACGGTAGTCTTTCGTCGATTTTAAATTCTTAAGGGGTCTCTGCCCGCTAGCCCGGCCAACGCTACATAATTAAATAAGTAACCCGATCCCAAATCGGCTCTGCTAGTTTTCCCTTCGGCTTTAATTTATTTAGATGTCAAGTTCTATCCTCAAATTTTTATTTTTGGATGTTCCAGGATCATTTCTTTGCTTTTTGCTCAAAGGTTCTCTGCTCGTTGACCCTCTAACGCTACCAGAGATCCTTCTTTAACCGGGCTGACCTCTAAATGGTCTCTGCTAGCTGGCCCCTTGAGCTCGATTCCCCACAACTGATGCTTTTCCACTTCTCATCTCATTCAACCTGCTAGAAATTGCCAAAGAATCTCCGCTAGCTTGCCCAAAACAACCTAGCTTACCATTTCCCAGCAAGCTGAGCACGTTCGGCTGTTGAGCAACACCAGGTTGGGGTTGGAGCAGGGCCGAGAGAGCTTGCAGCATCTGCAGCTGTTGTTGACCACCGGCGCCTCCGAGCTTAAAAAATTGGCTAAAATTTGAAAAATCCGGCTGTCACGCCCCCTTGAAAACCCCGGGAATTCGTACCTGGCCGAGGAGGTTTTGTTGCTGTTGCTGTTGAAGGGCTGGGGAGACGTCTCCGCCCTGTGGGGTCGGTCCTTTCGTTTTTCCGTCCTTGTCGCGGGTCGTGTCAGCAAATTTGCATACGATGGGGGAGTTGCAGCCCTGGAGATTCGGGGGTTTAAAGGGATCGGCAAGGCTGAGGGTGTCGGCTTAAGCTTAAAGCCTAAGCCTAAGCTTAAGCCTAAACTCTTCAAAGTACAATCCAGAAACTTGCAACAAATTCAAGGCGGACGAACAGTCATACATGTAGAGGAAACGCTACGATAAAGTTCGGGACAATTCCGAGTAGCTAGACTAGCAACAAAATTTCTGGAGGGCAAAGCCGTGTGAGAGACAGAGAGCGGGAGAACGAGAGAGAGAGAGAGAGAGAGAGAGAGAGAGAGGGGGGGGAGGGAGGGAGGGAGAGAGCCGAGATTTCAAGCGTTGCTGACCTCCATGGTGAGCGAGTGGTGCATCTGTTTGATAGCATTCTGGGCACAACTCCGCGAGGACAGGGTGACAAAGGCACAACCTGCAAAAACGGGCGGACATGTTCACACTTCATCCAGATAGTGGGGGGTGGAGCATCGGCTTCTGGATACCTATTACCCCCAAAACAAGGGGGAGCAGGGGTTGGCTGGCGGAATTGGGCTTGGGCTTGGGCTTAGGCTTAGGCTTAGACTTCAGCTAAGACTTCACCTCAATTCCGCCAGCATCCCTACACTCCCCCCATAAATTCCAAAACATGTAGAAACCCGCCACATTAAAAACGTAAAAATTTCCGGGTATATTTCCATATAAAAACGTTACATTCAGGAATTGGACACGTTTGGCTTGGGCCAAAAGCACAGAAACTGGCTCGCTTTCTCGATCTACCGTATGCCAGAACAAAAACCGTGGGTAGGGGGGCGTACCTTTGCTTCGGTTGTCGCCGTCCCGGAGTACGGTGCACTCCTCGATATGGCCGAACTGGGCGAACATCTCCTTGACGTCGTCCTCGTTTAGTTTTTTTGAGATCATGCCCACGAAGAGTTTGCGCTCTGGAATTGTGTGAGTCGCTTAGGCTTAGGCTTAGGCTTAGGTTTAGGTATCCCTCACCTCGCTTATAAGGTGCTTAATTGAATTACCTAGCGTGTGCAGTTAAACCCTTAAGTCTGCCTTTTCAAGCCCACCCCCTAAAACCAAACGCACCATTCCGATTCTCGCTATCAGCCGGCTTCATCTGCACCGGATGGTGCATCCCGGGCATCACCTCGATGTTGTGCAGCGCCGCCTGCGCGTTGATGGCGTCCTTTCGGTGGTAGAAGGTGACGAAGCAGCATCCTAAACTCGATAAATAATCGCTGCTAGCTTGCCTTTACCTTAAAATCTTTTTTTTAAAATCTGTAAAACTCTTGCTAGCCTTACCTTTGCTCATCTGCGTCTGCTTGTCCCGCAACACGTTCAGCGTGTGCACCCCGCCGTACTTCTCGAACACCTGCCGGCACTCCTGTTCACCCCAGGCGCGAGGGATCTGCAAAAATACATACGTGGTTAATTCTCTTATTTTTTAATATTTTCATTTTATTACCTTACGTTTATAATATTTTCAGACAATTTTTTTAGATTTTTTGCCACTCCCCGGATTCCAAATTACGCGGCTGGGAACCTGGCAGTTGACCACAAATCCCATCAAGGCCCGGGCGCCTCCAAAAATAATCCCATGATTGTGTGTGTGGGCGCCCGGTTGGGGCGGCTCAATTTTCTCAGCAAGTTCGCCGCAGGAATTTACGCTGGTTCTGTGGGCACAATTCTGTATAGTGGAAAGGGCAAAAATACATCTGGAGGAAGCGAAAACGCGCAAGACAGCTTGGAAATATGCTTAACGATATGCATAGGCTCAGGCTTAGGCTGAGACTTACACACTTCCTCCATTTCTAAATTCGATTACCCCTGTGTAAGCTATCGCCCCAAGGTGCCGAATTTCCCTATCGTGGCCCTGGCCCAAAACGAATTCCCGGAATTTTGGGCTTAACCCCTAGGGCCCAGTGTCAGGCCGGGTCCTTCGGGGAATTGGCCCTAGGGGTATTTTAGGGGTGGTTATGGATATGCGACAACCTGGGAGGGGGGGTAACTACGGGGCTTGGGACAATTACATCCGGGGTGGGCGCGCGGCTTTTTCCGGTATATGGCGAGCCGGCTGGGGCAGGTAAGCCGCGTAAGAAAGCTCTTACATAAGCATAGGCTTAGGCTTAGGCTTAGGATTAGGCATAGTCATAAACTTAAGCTTGGTCTTAAGCTAATTTTCGGTCGCGATAAAGCCTGATAACTTTTTTTTATAATTTTTCAAGCTTGATGTCACGGTTTTTTACCAGGATGCATGGATTTTAAAACCCAGAGTCCTATTTTTCAATCTGTAAATTGCGCTTTTTTTTCTCCTTTCTCTGCCAACCTACGACCCGGGTCCAATCGCGGGAAAAGCCGGCCCCAGCACCCCCAGGGAATTTATACCTACAGATCAAGCGATAGTGGCTCAGGTTTTCGACTTTTAGTGTCCCAAAAGGCCCGGGGGCTCACCTGGCCAACAAACATCTTGATCGTGTCGGCGTCGGGCTGCTGGGCACTCGATGGGTCGCCCATTTTTGAAACTGAAAAAGAGGGGATGAACGGTTATTTGTGTTGCTGCATCGCGAGCTGGCGAAAATTAAAAAAGTTCAATAATATAGAGAATAAGAAAGATTGCGAGATATATAGAACGAGAGAGCGAGAGAGAGAGAGAGAGAGA